AAACAAAAATTGCTGCTCTCTTATCCAAATAAATACAAACGGGACCTTCGACTGTCTCTGCGTATATTTGGCAGATAGTACATATAATTTTGGCAAACTCGATTCTGTTTATGAACTTCTTATGCAAAGATCTTACCTGCATAGCCATGTATACATGACACTGTTAAAAAGGGTTGTGATTTGCTTATCGTGATACTGAAGGTTTCACAATGAAAGTTTTGGTCATTTTTCAGTGTTCTCAAAATGTGCAGAAGCACTGAATGAAATTTTGACATTATAGAAATGGAAGGAGACGGCTTCCTTAGACTGTGCCCACAAGGTGGCTATCACTGCTGCCAGTCACATACTAACAAAAGCAAAGGACCCGACTGACAAACGGCTCATCAGCCGGAACAAGCCTGTAGCTACGAGATGAGTGGGCACCCTTGGAGGGCTGGGAACAAACTCCTACAGGTCTAAAAACCTGTTCTTGCTGCTAAGTAAATCCCAAGTACTCCGCGCTCAAACACTTCTGTTGAGAAGATACTGAGCTTGAAGTCCTCATGAACTGGCACCAGGAATCAGTGTAATGGGGGTTGTATAAGAGCAGTGCTGCAAGGCAAAGTGAATTTTTACACAAGAATGGATTCAGGTTTTTTACTCTATAAAAGACAAGACAGATGCCCTAAATGGGCTGCAAGTAGTTAGAGAATATTATTGAAAAAGGAAACAGAAAATGTATTCTACTGTATTATGGGACAAAGAAAACGGCTATTTTAAATTAAATATAGGCCATAAACTGCTTGGTCCAATTGTATTCATGTTCTGTTTTTAAAAAGTGTTCATTTTAAGAACAGATTAGGGCTGAGCATGCTGGCTTACAGCTGTAATCCCAGCACTTTGGGAGGCCAAGGTGGGCAGATCACCTGAGGTCAAGAATTCAAGACCAGCCTGGCTAACATGCTAAAACCCCATCTCGACTAAAAATACAAAAATTAGTCAGACATGGTGGTGCCCACCTATAGTTCCAGCTATTCAGCAGGCTGAGGCAGAAGAATCGCTTGAACCCGGGAGGTGGAGATTGTAGTGAGCCAAGATTGAGCCACTGCACTCCAGTAACAAAGATAATTAAAAGAAGTTGCTATATCAGAGAATACAAACATTATAAAATATTGTTATATTTTTCTCACACATATTATTTGTTTAATCAGTACTAGTGTTTGCTACTACTAAATGTCACAACCACAGGGTCTAACTCTAATGAGGATAAAACCAATTGCTTTCCTCACAAGAGCTCATGACTAATGAAGGCATAAATCTCTGCTATCAAAATCTACATCTCTGATCTGTTATGAGTATTCAGACAAGATTCAAATATTCTCAAAGAAAGAAACCCAGTGCACGTTGTGACTGCCTATTCAGCCACAGTGAGCATCATATCGTGAGCACCGTATCCCAAGCTATCTCATCCCAGGAATTGAATGTCAGCTATGTACACTGTCATTTGCTCCACTGCAGAAAGTCTCAGTGTCACAAAGAATCCTTTCATCTTAACATTTATGGTCACACCTGTCTTCCCAAGTTGACCTGACTACCAGTTCTGAACAAAAGAAAAAGTATTAATCAGAATATTATTTAGCAAGTACTACATGAACTACTGAACAATCTGAGCTACCAGTTAGTTAACCACCGGTGGCTGTTTATTTGCCAAAATTATACGTAGAGTGCTTCTAAATGGAATACAAGATACTGATCAAAATATCCAGAGAAAAAGACAAGATTTATTTTGCAGTTAGTACAACAGGAGTTATCCATGGCATAAGGCTCATCTGGCTGCAAAATGAACATTATGACTTACAAAGCAGATGAAAATATTGGGTTTTGGGTAGTAAAGTTAAAGCCCCTACGAAAGTAGGCCAGCCAAGAGTGGGTATCCTGTCAGTCTGGGGCAGATGTAAACGCCAGGCACAAAACAAAAGGCACGGTTATGAATCTATTTTGATATACTTTCAGAATTAACTACAGATGTAAGCTCTGAAATGTACACTGTTGTTTAGGACTGGGCTGTCCAATAAATAGTCACTAGCCACATACGGCTATTTAAATTTAAATTAATTAAAATGAAGTGAAATAGGCTGGGTGCGATGGCTCACGCCTGTAATCCCAGCACTTAGGGAGGCTGAGGTGGGTGGATCACTTGAGGTCAGGAGTTCGAGAACAGCCTCGCCAACATGGTGGAACCCCGTCTCTACTAAAAATACAAAAATCAGCTGGGAGTGGTGGCGGGCGCCTGTAATCCCAGCTACTAGGGAGGCTGAGGCAGGAGAATCACTTGAACCCAGGAGGCAGAGGTTGTAGTGAGCCGAGATCACACCATTGTACTCCAGCCTGGACAACAAGAGCAAAACTCCATCTCAAAAAAAAAAGAAAAAAATTAAATTAAATAGAAAACTCAATTCCTCAGTTGCATTAAGTGCATTTCGATATTCACATGTTATCTGTCACTCCTGTATTAGACAGTACAAACACAGAAGCTTTCCATCATCACAGAAAATTCTATTGGGTAGCCTTGGTCTAGGACTTGAAACTTTTACCAGTAGAGGGAAATCTGGAAAAACGTTATTGTGGTAAACCATATTTAACACTCCTTTCTGCTCAGTTCATGCCACGGACTCTAACACAAATAACGAAAATATGTTTGCCACTATAGTTCTCTACTAAAATGGATCACACAACCAATCAAAAATGTTCTTGCTTTAGGAACTTAAAATATCAAATAATCAGAACAAGAGAAAAACAAATATGAAAAGACTCCTTCTTTACCCAAACAACCTGCTGTTTTGCTTATAAATCTATTTCTGAAATCAGGCCCATGCCATTTCAGACCACGACCTGGTCATCCACTTCTATGAAGTACCACATTTTTTTTTAAACTAAGTCATTCTTACACTGGTAACAAGGCATAGTTGAATTTACTAGTGATAAAGCCAATATAACTAGGCTAGGGTCAATATAAACTGTGACCAGAAAATGCTGAGAATATTCCAGTTATAGAGGAATCATCAAGGAAGCACAAGCTATGGGCAAACATGACTCTAAGAAAGACTAACAGGTAAGTTAAAGATAACCAAATCTAATAGAATGATTGACTTTTCCCTGAAACATCCATGGCATATAGAGTCTAGAATCCGATTTGCATTTCACATTTGCTTTCCCACTGTGTTCTGACTATGAGTCCTCCCAAGTGCAGCTTAAATATCATGTTAAAATGTGATAAAATTATTTTCCTGATTCATCTGCCTGGCTGACAAAACCTTGAGAAACAATACAGTCATGCACTGGATAATGACATTTTGGTCAACTACAAATTGCATTTCCAGTGGTGGTCCCATAAGTTTATATTGGAGCTGAGAAATTCTTGTCACCTAATGACTTCATAGCTGTTGTAAAGTTATAGCCTAATTACTTTATTTTTATATTTATTTACTTTTTTATTTGAGACGAAGTTTCACTCTTGTGTCCCAGGCTGGAATGCAATGGTGCGATCTTGGCTCACCACAACCTCTGCCTCCCAGGTTCAAGCGATTCTTCTGCCTCAGCCTCCCAAGTAGCTAGGATTATAGGCATGTGCCACCAGGCCAGGCTAATTTTGTATTTTAGTAGAGACGGGGTTTCACATGTTGGTCATGCTGGTCTTGAAAGCCTGATCTCAGGTGATCCACCTGCCTCAGCCTCCCAAAGTGCTGGGATTACAGTCGTGAGCCACCGCACCCAGCAAGTACTTTATTTTTAAAAATAAATGTAGTGTCGCCTACATGCAGAGTGTTTATAAAGGCTACTGTAGTTTTGTTTTGTTTTTGAGACAGAGTTTCGCTCTTGTTGCCCAGGCTGGAGGGCAATGGTACTACCTCAACTCACCACAGCCTCCATCTCCCGGTTCAAGTAATTCTCCTCCCTCAGGCTCCTGAGTAGCTGAGATTACAGGCATGCACCACCATGCCCAGCTAATTTTGTATTTTTAGTAGAGATGGGGTTTCTTCATGTTGGTCAGGCTGGTCTCGAACGCCCGACCTTAGCCTTAGGTGATCCACCTACCTTAGCCTCCAAAAGTGCTGGAATTACAGGCGTCAGGCGTGAGCCACCACACCCAGCAATTACTTTATTTTAAAAATAAATGTAGTGTAGCCTGTGTGGAGAGTATTTATAAAGTCTACTATAGCATATAGCAATGTCCTAGGCCTTCACATTCGCTCACCACTCACTCACTGACTCACACAGAGCAACTTCCAGTGCTACAAGTTTCTCCACTGTAAGTGCCCTATACAAGGGTGCCGTTTTTAATCATTGATACCGTATCTTTACTCAACCTTTTCTATGTTTAGATATACAGATACCATTGTGCTACAACCGCCTACAGTATTCAGTATAGAGGAGCAACGGGCTACAGCACACAGCCTAGGTTTGTAGTAGGCTACACCATCTGCGTTTGTGTAAGTCACTCTGTGATCTTTCAGAACACACCCCAGTTGTTTAGTGACACATAACGTCTGTGAATTTATTTCACCAGAATAAAAAGCAAGGAATTCAAAGATGACAAATGATCAAATAGACAGTTTTCACAAGTAGTGGGCAGATCACAGCTGACGATCACTATAACACTACTAAACATAGAAATCAAGAACCTCAGATGTGATAGTACATATTGAAATTATGTTTCAAAAAGCAACTTCTGCACACTCTTCTAGGCCCCAAAAGAGTAATAAACTAGGCCAAGCACAGTGGCTCACTCCTGTAATCCTAGCATTTTGGGAGGCCGAGATGGGTGGATCATGAGGTCAAGAGAGTGAGACCATTCTGACTAATATGGTGAAACCCCGTTTCTCCTAAAAATACAAAAAAAATAAAATAAAATAAAATAAGTTTATCCCCCTACAACTTAACTGGCAAAGTCTACTATAAACTTTTCCCCTAAACCAGCTTTTGCTAGATACTGTAATTAAATAAAGAATTGGAATACTTACCAATAAGTCAGTAGTAGTCAGGGGTTTGTCCTTTATCTGAATTCCCTCCATGTTTTCTTCTTCTCTCACTACCTGCAAAATATCACCAACCCCTAATTTTCTCAAGAGTCATTTGTCAAAGTCAGTACTTAAACTGGTATACATGTCTGACACCAAACATCCCTGCTGCTAGTGCACCATGGCAGACAGGGCTTGAAAGGTAACAGTTTTATTTTGAGCAGGGGGCAAAGACAATGCAGCACTTCACAGCTACAGTGTAATTAGATCCTGCCTCAGTTTACTAAGAAAACACAGTGTACCCTTGAAGGTAACAGGTCTGAACTGGGCAGGACCATTTGTAAGTGGATTCTCTTCTGCCTCTGCCACCCTTTAGGCAGCAAGAACAACCCGTCCTGTCCCTCCTCCACCTTAGCCTACTTGACATGAACATGAGGAAGATGAAGGCCTTTATGATGATCCACTTCCACCTAACGAACAGTAAATATATTCTCTCTTCCTTACCATTTTCTTAATAACATTTTCTTCTCTCTAGCTTACTTTATTATAAGAATACAGTGTTATCAAACATATAACTTACAAAACGTGCTTAATCGACTGTTATTAGTAGGGCTTCTGGCCAACATTGTTGGTAGTTAAGTTTTTGGAGAGTCAAAAATTATACGCAGATTTTTGACTGTATGGGGGTTGGTGCCCCAATCATGTTGTTTAAGGCTCAACTATAATCAGATATTAATAGCATCTTAATTAGCAATACTAGGGAAGAATAGCCCTTATCACACCAGAAACAGACATGCTTTTTCTCAGAAGCCGGGATATCTTTCCCTCTGTGTTCTTCAAGGAACAATCTGACTGGTTAATCTCTCATCTGTCAAAAGCGCATACAATTTCCTTCTTTAAAGTATTTACAAGAGGAAAACATTAATTCACGTTAAAGTTGGAATAAAAAGCCATTTGATTTCTATACCTCATCCCTACCATTGGAAAAGAGTAGTTATTCATTGATTTTACTAATTCTGCCTAAATATAGATATTACTGGACCAAATCTTAGAACTAATTATTCTGTTGTTAAAAAAGAGGTTCAACTCAGGCTGGGCGTGGTGGCTCACGCCTGTAATCCCAGGATTTTGGGAGGCCGAGACAGGTGGATCCCCTGAGGTCAGCAGTTCGAGATCAGGCTGGGCAACATGGTGAAACCCCATCTCTACTAAAAATACAAAAAATTAGCTGGGTGTGGTGGTGGGCACCTGTGATCCCAGCTACTTGGGAGGCTGAGGCAGGAGAATTGCTTGAATCTCCAGAGACTGCAGTGAGCCGAGATCGTGCCATTGCACTCCAGCCTGGGTGACAGAGTGAGACTCCGTCTCAAAACAAAAACAAACAAATACAAAAGAGGTTCAACTCAGTTTTTCTTCTATCTGGTACAGTTGGGTAGTTGATTTTTCTTCTTGTGTTTTGTCTCATAGCTTTATTACAAATGCTAAGAAATGATACTAGTTTCGCGATTTTAGAACAGAGCTTAAACAAGAAGGTAAATTTTAAATCCCTGGCTATGGCTTTTATGTATATCAATTAGAAAAACATTACCATCTTTCACAATTATTGTAAAACATTGATCCTATCAAGGGCCAATTCTTCTTTCTTCACCAGAATTAGAAATACATCTGTCAGGAACTTCTTGATAACTTCCAACATGTTGATTAGTATTGAGGCAGAAAGCAACACAATCTTTAAAAGAGACAATGACTGGCTGGGCGCAGTGGCTCATGCCTGTAATCCCAGCACTTTGGAAGGCCAAGGCAGGCAGATCACTTGAGGTCAGAAGTTTGAGACCAGCCAAACTGGCTGACAAGGTGGAACTGGGTCTCTACCGAAAACACAAAAATTAGCTGGGCGTGGTGGCTCATGCCTGTACTCCCAGCTACTAGTCGGGAGGCTGTGGCACGAGACTAGAGGTGGAAACTGAACCCGAGAGGCGGAGATTGCAGTGATCTCAGATAGTGCCAATTCACTCCAGCCTGGGTGATGAAGTGAGATTCTGGAAAAAAAAAAAAAAAGACAATGACTAATTATGTTGACAAATCAATTAGGCAGATGTAATAGTTTCATAACAATACTTAGAGAAATAATGTTTGAGACCAAGCGTCCATGTCTTACTATAGAACTGAGTGAGACAGAGATTGTGGGAAACAATTGCTTTGAGCAGGGGGAAAGGACAATATAGCACTTCACAGCTATATCGTAACAATTAACCCAACCTGCCAGCTGGAGAAAAATCATGTGCATACCTGAGTACTTGTATTTAATTTCTAGTAAATCTCATGGATTTGATCCTTAATTCGTTGGTTCAACATTTTTATCTGCTTCATCCAAAACAAGCTGATCCATTTGAAAAGTTAGAAAAAAAATGTTTCACTTAACTGTGAGTTGGGCATCATGACTTCCTTCCAATTAGTAGAGTGTGGAAGGAGGGTAGAAGAGTAACTTTCCAGCATATAACCCTTCTGAATACTACCTCAGCCACGCAATCAAGGTCACAATCAACAGTCTTAACTCTCAATCTGATGTGATGAGAATCGCACTTTATATCTGTGGTCTTCCTCAGATATAAAAGCCCCAAATCCAAGTCTAATCCAGAGGAAAACGTCAATCAATTCTAACAGAAGGATATCCTACAAAATACCTAATACTCCTCAAAACTGTCAAGGTCATCAAAACTAAAAAATTCTGAGACTGTCACAGCCTAGAGGAGTCTAAAGACACACAACACCAAAGTGTAATGAATATGGTATCCTGGATAAGATTCTGGAACAGAAAAAGTAACTTACATAAAAACTAAGAAAACCTGAATAGGTTGTGGACCTTAGTTCATAATTATACATCAGTGTTGCTTCATTAATTGTGTCACACTGGCTGGGCCTGGTGGCTCACACCTATAATCCCAGCACTCTGGGGGGCCGAGGTGGGTGGATCACGAGGTCAGGAGTTTGAGACTAGCCTGGCTAATACGGTGAAACCCCGTCTCTACTAAAAATACAAAAATTAGCTGGGCATGGTGGCGCGTGCCTGTAATCCCAGCTACTCAGGAGGCTGAGGCCGGAGAATTGCCTGAACCCAGGAGGCAGAGGTTGCGGTGAGCCGAGATCGCGCCATTGCACTCCAGCCTGGGTAACAAGAGAAAAACTCCGTCTCAAAAAAAAAAAAAAAAACTTAGCTGGACATGGTGGCACATGCCTGTAGTCCCAGCTGCTTGGGAGGCTGAGGCAGGGGAATCATTTGAACCCAGGAGGCGGACGTTGCAGTGAGCAGAGATCGCGCCACTGCAGTCCAGCCTGGGCGACAGAAAAAGACTCTGTCTCAAAAAAAAAAAAAAAAGTATCATGTAACATAGTTACACCACAAATTTACCATACTAACATAAAATGTTAATAACAGGATAACGGGGTGCAAGGTATATGGGGACTCTTGTACTATCTTCTCTGTAAACCTGTAACTTCTTTCTGGAAACCTAAAACTGTTTGAAAAATAAAACAAAGTCTATTTTTAAAAAGTCTTAGTATCCCCTCTAGATATTCATGTGTAGCAACTTGCTTCTTTAGCCTATTTTCCCTCCTCTACCCTAAATATGACTCACTAAAAAATCTTAGGAAAAATCAAAATTGACATTTTCTACATTATTCTTCTGTGTTTAAGATGTACAAACAGTGAATACGCTCCACATTTACATCACCAGGGCAAGTTCTTCCTGATACATATTCACTGGTTTTCACTCACTTTAAAGACAAGTCCCTTTCCAGTAGGAAACTATGACTTATAGAGCGTTGATCTTAATGAAGCCTACCACTTTGTTAAAACAAGCTTCTACTTCATAGCTAATACAGCAGCAAGCTTTGAAAAGGGACAGCATGCAGATATCACAAACGACAAAGATTCCCAACTAATAGCACGTCACTGTGGTTTTCACGTTGGACATTGCATTTAAATTTGACAACAGTGAACACAAAAGGCATGGATCCTAGTCTACTACCCAGAAAGGAAGCTTCAGTGTGTCAGTCTGTTGAGATACAGCCCCTACATACCTGTATCTGCAAACTAGTTTCCGTTTAATTTGAGACAAAAACTCCCTGTGTGCAGGGACAATAGTTAAAAAGAATGTTCTGAATGGACTGCTTTATACTAAGCCTTAAGTATAAAGTTTTGTATTTTTATAAAACCCGAGGTATCTGGGAAGTTAGGTCCCCTGAGGGCAGACCTTAACCAGTGACTTGGTAGAGATGTAAACACTCCAGCTTGCTGGTTCTCTTGTAAGGACAACTCCAAGGATTGACAGTGCACACTGACTTCAGAGTTCAGCAGCACAGAGCCACCTCCAGGAGAACAGGCTTAGAGCAGCTTGCTCAGTGGCTTTCCTTCCCTTTCTATTCTATTTCCCTACTCCCTTGCGATTTTTTTCCTGAAAACTTTCTAGTTATTTTCACAGGAATTCCTGTTTTAGGATTTACTTCTGGGCTTCTAAGGCACATGATATAATAAGCTTTTTGGGTTTTTTTGTTTGTTTGTTGAGACGGAATCTTGCACTGTCACCCAGGCTGGAGTGCAATGGTGCAATCTGGGCTCACTGCAAACACTCCGCCTCCCGAGTTCAAGGGATTCTTCTGCCTCAGCCTCCCGAGTAGCTGGGATTACAGGCGTGCGCCACCACGACCAGCTAATTTTTTTTATTTTTAGTAGAGACAGGGTTTCACCATGTTGGCCAGGCTAGTCTCGAACTCCTGACCTTGTGATCCCTGCCCCCTGCCCTCCCAAAGTGCTGGGATTACAGGCCTGAGCCACCATGCCTGGCCCATAAAAAGTATTTTTAAGTGGATGACTCTTTATCTTTAAAAGCAGTATAACTTACTATTTTTTTGACATATTCCAATGTAAAAGATAAAGTCACTTTGTCATTGCTGAATGTAAATAGAGAAAATTGATTTAGAAAAGTTTTAAAATTCAAATTTAAATATGAAAGATCTTCATTCTTTACCTGTGATACGTGCGTGCTACAGATATTTCTTCCCAATTCAGTTTTTTTTGTCTTTTGACTTTATGATTTATTCATCACGCCATTTATTTATGGTTTTTATTTTACTGCCTATGGGTTTTTGAGTCATAGTTAGAAAGCCGTTTTTTTAGTATTTGTATTGTTTCACTTTTCACATTTAGACCCCTGATCCACTTAGACTTTATTTTTGTTATGCAATGAGGTGTAGATCTAATTTTATCTTTTTCCAAACAGCCAACCAGTTTTGGCCCAGCTCTGTGTACTACAAAGCCCAACTCTGCCCCAATGTTACGTGATACCACCTTTAACTTTCCATGTGCACTTGGGGTTATTTCTGGATTTTCTATGCGATTCTACTTGTCTTTTTATATATTCACACACTAGTTCCACATGTTACAGAGATTTTTGTAACCTCTATCATCATAAAACCTCTATGACTGCCTTTAGAACCTCTATAATACAGTTTTAGTTACAGAAGCTAAAGACAAAAATAACTGTAAACCAATATGGAATTCTGGCTAGTTGGTCGGTTTTTCAAAGTAATACAGGTTAGCGATTTTGAAACTACTTTTTGTATACGATGGAGCAAATAAGTGAGTATCTTGTAGATAATGAGAGCCAGCTTTCTACTCTCAGAAAACACAGTTACAATTACAGAAAGGGCAGATCCGACTGAACCTTGAGATGCTGCACTGGAACTGAGGTTACAGTAAGAACTCAGCTGTTTTTTAAACATACATGTAGGTAGGTAGGCAAGTACATAGATAGATAGACATAAAACATCGATGAGCCTGGACTGAAGTGCGTATGGAAGTGTGGGGGTGTGTGCCTGTGTACACATATAAATTTACACATATATTTGCATACATACACACATATACATAAACACGCGTGTGTGTATCAATTCCTAGCGTTGTCTGCTGAGACAGTCTAGAAGCAGTGGCATCCTAGTAGCAACAAACAACCTACACAGCCGAGATACCGGCTGTAAAACAGCATTTTCCAGGAAAAGGAACAGGGACCTTGGGGAAAATGTCTGATTCCAAGGCAGGAGCAAAGTACACGATGAGCTTGGAACATCCTTTGCCCTTAAACAGGGAATGACGGGAACATGTTAACAAGACACGGGAACCAGAAGTAAACAAATGTATACACGGGGGAGAAAAGAAAGCGCTTCCTTACTGTAGAAAAAGAGAAACGAGCAAAGCGTTCTGTAGCTCGTGCCGCGTGGGGCGGGGGAGGACAGAGGCCCGGCTGCAGGAGGACGCCCTGTGGAAGGGGGACCAAGCCGCGTTCTCCCCGCACCTTCCACTGCCCCGCCCCCACGCACCGCTCCCCATTGCTTTTCGTCCCGTCACCTTGGCAACAGCAGCGGACTCAGGCAGTGACGCCACCGGTTTCTCGCCGCCGCCAGCAGCACTGACGCTGGAGAGGCCGCCGCCACGTCCCCGGGGCCCGGCCGCTAGTTGAAGTGCGGCTGCGTCTCCGTCGCCCGCCTCACCTCCGTTCGTTGTGAAAGCCTCTTGTCCTCCTCTGGCCACCGTCCAGGTCTGAACCAAGAAATGAGCCAATCCCAGGGAGGCATTCGGGCGGGAGCGTCCCTGTGGAAACCTCTCGGCGACGCTCTGCCAATCGGGCTGGCGCCCGCGCGGTCAGCCCCGGGCCCCGGGGAACCCTCGGGGTCTGCGCCTACGCCGGGGTGGTGTTGGGGTCTGGGAGGATCTGCTTTGTCCCCAGCCTTCCTGGGCCTTGGGTGTCCCTATCGCTGTTTCCGCGCGTGAACCGCAAGGGCCCACCCTTTCGCGGGCTCCAGGGCTGGAAACCCTCCTCTTGACCTTTGATGTTTAGAGAACCGAGGTGAAGAAGCATGGCGGGAGACTGTCGTAGGATACAAAGCCCTGGAGAATAAAACAATGCAAAATTGTGTAAGATTTTCAAAATGTAAAAAAAAAGCATTAGGAAATCCTTTTAACCGTCTCAAAACCGAAATTACTGAATATCTCAAAAACGAAAAAAAAAAAAGGCACTGCATATTAGTACCTGTGGGATCTACCAATGCAGTACTTTTAAAAATCAAAATAAAAGTAACTTGATAAACTTAGAAAAAATTAGCAAGGTAAACCTAAGAAAAACAGAAAGAAGGAATTTGTAAGAATAAAAGAAGAAAATAAATTAGCAAATAGAAATGGGAGTGAGAATACTAATAAGCAAAAGATTTGAAAAAGGCAACAATAGGGTGGTTGGCTAACCTAATCCAGAAAGAGAGGAGCACAATCAAAATACAAAATGATAAAGCGGAGATAACCAGAGGTACAGAAAAACTGAAAAGAATTGCACGATCAGTCAGTTCGATGTAATAAATCTGAAATCAGTTCGATGTAATAAATCTGAAAATTTGAATGAAATGGAGAAGATTCCAAGAAAATATAATTTACCAAAACATTCCAGAGACAGAAATTCTAAGTACATTACTGTAGAAGAAATCAATAATGTCAGAGACCTGCATTTCCCATAGCTGAATCCACAAAAGCACCGGGCCCAAAATATTCCTAGGAAAATTCCACTGTGAAAATTTGAGGAACAGAGTTGGTTGCTGTTGATTCTGTCTTAAGCACAGGAAAAAAAGGGAAACATTTCAAATTCTATTTGTGAAGTGAGCATAACACTTACACCAAAATCTCACAAAACACACATGCAGCATATACACATACACCGACCATAGAAATTCTTACTCATGAATATTACTGGAAAAATGCTAAATCAAATAAAAAATATCATGAAGTCTTTCTATCTCACTAGAAATAGCAGGGTACAGTGGCTTGTGCCTGTAGTCCCAGCTACTTGGGAGGCTGAAGTGGGAGGATCCCTTGAGCCCAGGAGCCAGCCTGGGCAACATAGTGAGACCTCCTGTCTCTAAAAAGCATTGCAAAGAAAAAAAATGTTGGCATCTTCAAGATGCAAAAAAAGGTATTTGAAAACATTCAACATACATTCTTGATTTTTTAAAAAATGTTAAAAAAATTTAGCAAATGATGTTGACACAACTAGGTAGCCATCTAGAAAAAATAAAGTTAGATCCCAACTCAACTCATACCTCACATCAAAATAAGTTCCAGATAAAGAGTACAGTGTACATCAGGCAGTCCAAGTTTGTAGGACTGTATGGCAAATGACAGTTAATGTGCCTGAGGCAAACTGTATGAGGCTTAAAAAAGAGTACAGTGAACAGATTATTTTGTTACCCAGGTAATAAGCATAGTAACTGGTAGGTATGGTAGGTAGTTCCTTTTTTTTTTTTGAGATGGCGTCTTGCTCTGTTACCCAGGCTGGAGTACAGTGGTGCGATCTCAGCTCACTGCAACCTCCGCCTCCCAGGTTCAAGCCATTCTGCCTCAGCCTCCCAGGTAGCTGGGACTACAGGCATGTACACCATGCCTGGCTAATTTTGTTGTGTTTTTAGTAGAGATGGGTTTTCACCATGCTGGCCAGGCTGGTCTTGAACTCCTGATCTCAAGTAATCTGCCCACCTCAGCCTCCCAAAGTGCTGGGATTACAGACATGAGCCAGTGTATCCGGCCGCCCCTGGTAGGTAGTTTTTCTGTCCTCTCCCTTTTCCCACCATTTACCCTCAAGTAGGCCCTGGTGTGTGTTCCCCTCTTTGTGTCCGTGCGTTCTCATTGTTTAGCTCCCATTTATAAGTGAGAACATGTGGTATTTGGTTTTTTGTTCCTGTGTTAGTTTGGATATGTCCTTCAGCTCCATGCATGTTGCTGCAAAATACATGATCTCCTTCTTTTTTATGGCTGTGTGGTTTTTTATGGTGTATATGTACATATATTCTTTATCCAGTTTACTATTGATGGGCATTTAGCTTGAGTCCATGTCTTTGCTGTTGTGAATAGTATTGCAATAAACATATAGGTGCATGTGTCTTTGTGGCAGAATGATTTATATTACTTTGGGTATATCTACAATAATGGGATTACTGTGTTGAATAGTAATTCTGATTTAAGTTATTTCAGAAATTGCCACACTGCTTTCCACAGTGGCTGAACTAATTTACATCCCTACCAGCAGTGTATAAGCATTCCCATTTTCACCCCTTGATTCCTGGACCCATGAATCCTGCCAATGGGAAAAAGAGTATCATATTTGGAATGTTGATTCAGAGCATATGCACATCTTGCCCCAGCCCCGCAAGGTATCACCACCTTGCTGGTGCTATAACTGCATCTTCAAGAAGCCATTTCACTGTACTATCAAGCCAGCTGCTCCAGGATGGTGGGGAATGTAAGATCAGTAAATTCTATGATCGTGGGTCAATCCAGACTTTTTCTGTTAAGTGAGTTCCTTGATGAGAAGCAATGCTGTATGGAATACAATGACAGTAGATGAGGCATTCTTTAAGTCCAGGGATGGCAGTGTTAGCAGAAGCACTGTGTGCATGGAAGGCGGATCTGTATTGAGAGTGTCTATTCCAGAAATTAAAAAACGCTGCTGCCCCTTCCAGGATGGAAGTAGTCCAGTATGATCAACCTGCACCAGGTAGCTGGCTGATCTCTTCAGCGAATGGTACCTTATCAGTGTTGGTCTCTGCTGCTGGCAGATTGGGCACTCTGCCAATTGCAGGTTGGGTGAATGGAAGTGCATGTTGCTCAGGTCATGATTACTGTCTGTGTCTTTCACCGTGGCTGCTTTGTTCTTGAGCCCATTGGGCAATGATAGGAATGGCTGAGGAAAGAGGCTGGCTCATATCCACAAAACAAGTTATTTACTTGACTATTAAAATCCTCTGCTATCACCCTTCTGTGAGCATTCACATGGGACATAAATATCTTCACATTTTTGCCTATTCAGAGAGGTCTATCCATATACCTTTTCCCCAAATTTCCTTGCCTTTTTAATCATGTTCCTTCCCAGTTTCTGACCGTTCAGCCAGACCATTGGCTACAGCTCATAAATTGGTATATAATCACATGTCTGTACCTCTCTCCTTCATGACAAAGTGAACAACCATGTGTACTGCTTGAAGTTCCTCCCACTGGAGTGGAGGGGGGGCAAATTTCCCTTCACTACTCTCCTTCAAGAATGTCTCAAAAGGTCGTGCAGAGCAGCATTTGTCCACTTTCAGGTGGCGCCTGCATATCGTGCTGCATCTGTAAACCAGGCCCAAGTTTTCTCTTCCTGTTAACTGATCATAGGGAGTGTCACGTGAGGTCATATGTGGAGGCTGGGAGAGAGGAGAGTGTAGCAGGGTACAATGAGCATTGGAACCCTTCTTGTAACTCACCTGTGCCTTCAGAGCTCGGGCCTGATCACATATGTGTCACTTTCATTTGGTGTTGGAGTGCTGCTGTTCATGCCCAGCTGCATGGCTTGGTGGGTCAGATAACACCTCACTGACATTGCCCAGCTCAGGCTGGATGGTAACTTGGTTGTCCATGGTTAAGCATGGAGTCAGTAGCATAACAAGAGCCATTTCTCAAAACAAGTGTAGTTGTAGAGAGTGGCCCCACTCTGCTGAAAACATTCTAAGGGCCTGTGCGGCAATTCACATAGGTGCCTGCCGGAGCCTACACACAGCATCCCTGTCTGCTGCTGATACTTCAAGCACCATTTAGATCCCCTGAATCACGCGGCTCAAGTGGCAGAGAGGCTTGCATGGCAGCCTGGACCTGTGGCAGAGCCTTCTCTTATTCTGGGCCCCACTCGAAACGAGCAGCTTTTCAGGTCATTTGGTAGAGGAGTTGGAGCAACACACCCAAACGAGGAATATGTTGCTTTTGACATCCAAAGAGGCCCATTAGGTGTTGTGCCTTTTTGGTTGTGGGCCAGATGTGACAAATTATTCTTTACCTTAGAAGGGATATTGGGCCGGGCATGGTGGCTCACAACTGTAATCTCAGCACTTTGGGAGGCCAAGGTGGGCAAATCATGAGGTCAGGAGATCGAGACCATCCTGGGCAACATGGTGAAACCCGGTCTCTACTAAAATACAAAAAATTAGCTGGGTGTGGTAGCATGCACCTGTAGTCCCAGCTACTCAGGAGGCTGAGGCAGGGGAATCACTTGAACCCGGGAGGCAGAGGTTGCAGTGAGCCAAGATTGCGCCACTGCACTCCAGACTGGGTGACACAGTGAGACTCTGTCACAAAGAAAAAAAAAGAAGGGATATCTTGGCATGCTCTACACTACTGGACCTATAGAAATTTCACTGGCGTGTGCATGTTCTCACTCATAAGTGGATATTGAACAATGAGAACACACAGACACATGGAGGGGAACATTGCACATGGGGGCCTGGGGGCCTAGAGGAGGAATAGCAGGAGGTGGGGGGATTGGGGAGGGATAGCATTAGGAGAAATACCTAATGTCGATGACAGGGCGATGGATGCAGCAAATCACCACCATGGCACGTGTATACCTATGTAACAAACCTGCATGATCTGCACATGTACCCCAGAACTTAAAGTATAGTAAATAATTTTTAAAAACTTGACTGGTGGAGGTCTCTGAATTTTAGTTAAATTCATTTCCCAACTTCTGACATGCAAATGTCTTCCCAATAAATTTAGGCTAGTTGCTACTTTTTGCTAAATCGCTTCAGCATAATGTCATCAATGTAAGAGACCAGTATGGCATCCTGAGGGTGAGAAGGATAATCAAGATCACTGTGAATTGAATTATGACATAGAGCTGGAGAGTCAATGTACCCTTGAGGTACGAAAGTGAAGGTATATTGTTGGCCTCGCTAGCTGAAAGCAAACTGCTGCTGGTGGTCTTTTTTTTTTTTTTAACAGATCTAGAGAAGAAAGCATTTGTCAGATCAATAGCCACACACTGGGTAGTGGAGGATGTATTAATTTGCTCAAGCAAGGATACCACCTCCGGTACAGCA